CGGGCCTAGGCGAGTTGGGAAGGGGGAATCTCCACTGGGTGAAGCTCTGGGAGGTGTTGGAAGACGACGAGGAGGATGACTCTGGAAGCTGCTGCGGCGGCCGGGGTGGTGGCGGCGGCGCGTGGGGGAGGGGCGGCTGGGTGGAGCTCGTCGGGCTGAGCACGGTCTGGGTGCACTGACGAAAGAAGCCACAGGTGAAGAGGGGCTTGAGCTTTGGCTGGTTGGTTTTCATGGCGGGGCCACGGTGGAGAATTCGCCGGAGTTTGATTATTCACGCTCTAGTATGTGTGCCAGAGAGAGAAAGAGGGAGAGATTGTTTGTTGAGAGGGTTAGTTGGATTTACATGTGATGTGAGGCGTTTGGTTTTTTGTTTTTTTTTTTCAACTTTCTGCATGCATGATGCAACTGACAGAAAGCATGAGATGTGGGGACTACTCTTAGGGGTGCACAAAACCGCACCGAAACCGAAAAACCGAACCAATCTGATGCATTCGATGCGGTTTTTAAACGCTTCGGTTTTCGGTGCAGTTTGAAATTTAAAAAACCGCAACAGTTTCAGTGCAGTTCGGTTTTAAGTATGAACGGTGCGGTTTTGACCGAACCGAAACTTGTGTGTGTAAAATAAAATTGCTAGTTTATATTAATATACTACCTTAGCCTTACATGTTTTTTCTTAAAATCGTTCCACTTCAATTCTTCATATTTTCAAAAATAAAAAATCACAAACCCTACTCTAGCCCATTTCCCACTCGCCACTCTTTGTTCACTACCGCGTTCCGCCGCTCCAGGCCTCCAGGCGCTTGGTCATATCCAGACCGGTGTTCCCGTTCAATTTCCCCGCTCCGCTATTCAGTTCTTGCTCTCGCCGCACTGGCCTTGCGGTTCCCTTTAGTTTTCTATTATCTAATCTGCAATCTCCATCTCTAGATTTGTACTCAATAATAGATTACATCAAAGATCCAAATAAGAACCTACCTCTTGAAATAATTCCTTAAATCATTGACCATTAAAATCTTGCTCAATGAGAGGTGAAAGTTGAATTTGATCTGTGCTCTCTCCTATGTTTTGGTTTGGTTTTTTTTTTAGGGGTTTTTGTATTTTAATTTTTTTTGGCATGCTGTTGCTTGCATTGCATAGATGATAGATGGCTTGGAGTTGGATTATTTTATTTAAAATGGTTGTATTTATTTATTTAGAAATGGAGACCAGTGATTTATGAAGCCTAGATGTTTATGAATGTTGTGTAGTATTAAAATTATGTTTACTGATGCTACTTTGGTTTGATTTCTATTGTTTTAATTTTGATTTGTGCAATTTGTGTTTAGTCTTTATTAATTGCGATTCGGTTCAGTTCGGTTAGGTTTTTCTTTCTCTTGCGGGGTGGTTCGGTTAACAAAATAACAAATTTAGAATTTTTGGTTTTCGGTTTTTTGCGGTACGGTTCGGTTTTTTACCAAACCGCGGCGATGTTCACCCCTACTCTTCGCTGGTTTTTATTATATATATCTATATCTATATATATATATATTTTTTTTTTTTTGGTACAAGATTTTTATTATTATTTAACAAGGAGAGAGTGGTGATAGTTGTTGAGTTTGTGGCCCAGTCATATTTTGGGCCTTCATAGTTGTCTGGTTACTACTGTGTTATTTGTTAGAAATATGTCATGTTTCTCGGTTATGTAGAGACAATCTTGGGACATGCTTTAATGGGCCAGTGAAGTAGCTTGGTTTCAAATCGTGTTATGTAGCAATCAGTTAAAGTTATGTTTAGTAAAATTAACTTATAGCTTATAATCAATTTTTGAGTTTATAGTTTTTAGTTTATGACTTCTAGATGAAAAATTAAATTATACGATAAAAGTGTTTAGTAAAATTAACTGACAAACTAGCTGAAATAAAAATTTCAACTAATTTATTTAAAAACCTATCAAAAGAAGCTTATAGATAAGCTCGAGTTTTTTTTTTTAAAAAAAAAAAAACTCGTTCTACCAAACGAAATTTATTTAAACACATAAAACTTCTAAGCTAATGAAATTAGTTATAAGATAACTTATTTGTATACCAAACATAATATATGTGTAAATTGGCCTCTATATCTAGAACTTGGTTTGAAACACTTCAGAAATTGACTTTTCAATATGAAGTTCAGTTAAAAATTAATTTATGTTTGATGGATAATTAATAATAGACTAATTTGTTAAACTCTAGAAAGTCAAGTTTGAAAAAAAAATAAATAAAAATAAAAAATACAAATTTTTGGAGATACCCATTTTGCTTTGCAAAAATTAAACACATTTGTATGACTCCCGATTATTTTAGCTATAATTTCTATTTTTGATTTACCACTTGTCCAGTTTGGCATATATCATTAGGGCATCTTTAGTGGGAGGTTTTGGAGAGGTTTAAAAACACAAACCTATGAGGTTTATCACTATAAAGAAGAGGTTTGAGGTTTGTGTTTTTAAACCAGGTTTAAGATTCCAACCTCACATAAACCTCCAAGTGGACATTAAATAAATATAAAAATAAGAAAAAGATATTAGGAAAGATTATTATAATAATTTTAAATAAAATAAGTGGAGAACATGAGGGACCCATATAAGAGGTTTATTGTTATTAGATGTTTAAAGTGTAGGAGTAAGATAAAAGGTTTTGGGTGATGTGGCACATTGAAAAATGAAAAAAAGAGGTTTAAGAGGTTTTATTGTTAAAGATGCTCTTAGTGTGGCATATATCATTAACGTATGCTACGTCCACTAGTCACCTATAAAGATCTCATTATAATAATACTTATAGAAAATGCTACGGTCATGTTACGGAACCATTCTGTCGAGATTTGTGACCATTAGATCATAATGTAACTATCGATCTAACGGTTACAATTCCCGACAGACTGATTCCGTAACGAGACCGTAACATCTCTCAATACTTATATATGATATGTTAATCCAGGGGCGGATTTACACTTGGGCCAGCCTGGGCACTGAATTTTTACTGCTAATATATGTAGTTATAAATTCAAAATAAATATTTAGGAAGAAAAGACAAATGGAGATCTTGCGAGACATAAAAAAATAATTTTAAGCTTTTTTTAATAGTCTATATAAAAAGAAGTCGAACATTATCTCTATGTTATCTTCTATAATTAAATTTATTAAAATAATAATCGATGATGGGGTTATTGCTGATCAAAGAAGAAAATGTAATTTGTTGCTTGTGCAGATACAACTCTTTGATTTCATATTTTGTCTCCTTGTAATGAGACAAATTTTACACTAACGAATGAGTTATGAGTAGAATTATAAAAGAATGATCAAGATATTGTCAATGCTATGAATTTGGTCAGGGCATGTAAGACCATGCTTGTTTATAAAAACTAGAAAAAAAATCCTTTTTTTGTGTTAATTATAGCTTATTTGGAAACAGTTAATATGATTAGTTGTTCGTGAAATTTAAAAGTTTATTATAATAATATTTTTAAAAAAAAAATTTAAAATTGATTTGATGTAAAAGTAGGAGATATATGATTGAAAATGATAGGTTGTAAAATTATGTGAGTGGATTCCTAGTGAATTAAAGTTGATGCAATGTGTAAGAATATCTGAATGATATTATTTGATTATATTGATAATATTGAGGATAATGGAGTTGAATTAAAGTCGAGTTAGATTTAAAATTGAGATAAAATTTTGTTTTTCTAGTTTTTTTTCTAGAAATTTGATAAACAAGAACGACCGAAACAACTTCAAAAAATTAGAGAAAAAGAATGTCAATAATTTTATTTTTATTTTTATTTTTATTTTTATTTTTTTTTTTTTTTGCAGAAGGTAAATTTGTATGTGCAATGTACAAAAAAAATTCGAGCACTTTTTAATTTTATATTGCCCTAACTAATAAAAATTTCTGTATCCGCCACTGTGATAATCTACTATCAATCAGTTAGTACGTACAACAGTAGAAATATTATTAACTGTTCATTGTACTCCATACTCCATACTCTTCCAACTATTTTATGTAGGAAATATGTTATGAAAAACGTGACTGAATATGAAACTTAAATTGCAATGACTGAATTTAATGTGTGTGTGTGTGTGTGTGTGAGAGAGAGAGAGAGAGAGAGAGAGAGAGAGAGAGAGAGACAGAGAGAGAGAGAGAGAGAGAGGAAATTTAAATTGCATTCTGATATGATTATAGTACACAAGAGTGTAAGAGAGATGTGAAGAGAAGTTGTTTTGGGTTTTGAATTATTGTAACTACTAGTTTGACTCTGGCTGTGCACAGCACAGCCGAGCTTAAATTAGATTTTATTTATTTAACTTAGAATTCAAATTAATTTCTTTAACTTAATAATCTAATAATATCATTACTTTTGTGAAAATATTTCCAAGTATTGTTCTATATATTGTGCATTTGATAATTAATGTGACAAACTTGCATGGTATAAATTCTAAAATTGTTCAAATTGGATATGAGACAAAAGGACATAGAAACGAATGAAAGGCTAAAAATATAGGAAATTACTACAATTTTGTTAACAGAATGATTCCGTTAGTGCTTGTTAACGTTGATTATCTATACTACGTAATCTACATATGTATCTAACGTTAAAAAAAAACACTGATGGAACTATCCTACATAACATCCCACCTACTACCAAACAAAGCTCACACTTCAGCTACTCAATAGTGAAGAAGTCCTTCGAAACCCAAAAGTTAACTGTCGGAGGTGCATGTACAGCCTACAGAGTCTTTACAAATTAAGTTCTTCCCAAGTTTTCTCACTAAAAGAAAGGCAAGATCATTCAGCCACCACACTACTTAGTAAAAACTAAATAAAATTTAATTGAAAAACAGGATGAACAAAAAAAAAAAAAGTCAACCTGATTAGTCATTAGTCTTTGGAAGATGTACAATTGAACATTTAATAGTTCATACAAAAAAAAAATAAAAAATTCAAAATAATAATCTCCCATGTGTTTTATTTTGGGAATAACTCAATGTTCCATTGCGTAGTGCTTACCAACATTTCAGCACGTGACACATTCGAGCCTGCTCTATATTGTGCTAGTAGGTTATGAATTGTTCAATTATATATCTTCAACATTGAAACTTGAAAAACCAGTAAAGTCAATAACTGAAGCCATAACAATTTGGTAAATAAAAAAGGTTTGTACCAAT